CAACACTAATAACTACTGTATAACTCGAATCAGGCATGCAGGAAATCCAGACACATTTGAGTAATCAGGCTACTTCTGCTCCGACGTGTCTGCCTTTGACAGCTTCTGCTTCTATGTCACCTGCCATCAGACCTGTTGTTTAGGAGCCATGTCTGTGACCCCCTGAACTGTGTAATGGCAATCATGCACAGTGTCTGGCTTTTCTCACTCAATGCAAAATTCATTTCAAACTTCAGTCTTCAGCGTACCTTTCAGATACGTCCGAGGTAGCCTATATTGTCTCACTTCCAGCCAGCAAATCAAGCTGTGGGGAACTTTTGAATGTCAGAAAACCCCTAGTTTATGGAGCTCCTATAGCGCCTTCTCGCAAGAACAAATATGAGTTTTCTGCCCAGTTCTTTCCATACAAAGGGTCTCAGACTTCCATTAATCAATTATAGAAATGACTGTATCAGCAAAATGCATTTTCTGTTAATTAGCCTTTTCTCCTTTTTTTAAGTATGAAACTCATAAATTCATTAAAGGACGAGGAAGCTCAAAGACATTTTACCCTGTGGTCTTCAGCGACATCATGGGTCTGGAAGAAGGGGAAATACAAGGAGTTCATGCAAGTGACATCAAGCTGGCTTTGGAAGGACATGTAAAGGAAGGCCACAAGGTGCAGCAACTGCAACGACCAGTTCTGAAAAATATTCTAAAATTAATAAAATAATGGAAGTAGCCACAATTTAAAGATAAAGATTTTATTTCTTTGAACAAATTCATGTTAAAGATGATGTTATTTCTAGTTCAACCCAGTAGGTCCTCTATCTGAAGGTGACCCAGGCTACAACCCGACACCCTCTGCTGATGACAGAGTTCATGTCTTGGTCTGCGTGATGTCTGCCAACGCCCCACAGATTAAACCATCAGTTCTAGAGAAAATGAAGAGGGTCAGAGAAACAGCCAGTGATCTGGGTGAGTTTAAGGATTTTTATTAACATGGCATACTAACAGAAGAAATCCAAAACAAGTTAAACTGTTGGTGTCCATCCATCCATATTTTCTGATTATTCCGTCAGGGTCACTGTGGGGCCGGTGCCTATTTCTGGCAATTTATGGGCGAAAGGCGGGGTACACCTGGACAGGTCACTAGTCCATCACGCGGCAACACAGACACAGAGTCATATAACCATGCACACACATACACCTACGGACAATTTGGAGAAGCCAATTAACCTCAGAGTAATTTTTCTGGACAGCGGGAGTACGCTAGAGTACGAAGAGAGAACCAACGCAGGGAGAGAGAGAACATGCTAACTAACTGCCAGTGTCT